GTTAGGTGCCACTTTAGTTAGTGGCCCCGCCCCCGTCCCGGCCACGCCCCCGTCCCGGCCACGCCCCTTTACGCTTTTTTCATCACTAGCCACTCTCATCCCTGAATCCAGGAAATTTGTTGGTCGAGTCATGGATCAAACACCTGCTGTGAATTTTGCTGACAGATTAACATTTGGAGTAGTGAATTTAAAAATTTAGAGAAGTTCAAATACAGTCCACCTGTAAAACAGTGCATTTTAAGTTTCGAATATGACAATGGTCAACAGCAAATTTTCCCCAGGAAAGGCTTTATGTATGACAAAATGTTTGCCCTATGACACAGATTTAAATGATGTCTTTCCTTTTTTATTTTTTTAGCACAACAGATTTGAGGTTTTTGTTTTTAAGTTTGAACTACAAGAAAAGCATGCGCAATATCGAATTTATCGAATGTGTTGTAATTTACAGCTTTGTGTTCAGAAAAGGAAATATACCTGTTGCTGAACCGAACCCTGAATTCATAAATATGACTAAACCAGGGTTCGTACGGGTCCTTAAAGTACATAGAAATCAATAAAAAAAGAAGTTGTAAAATTATGTACTTAATTGTCCATAATTTTCAGGGAAATCTTCTAAAATCCATAAAGATCCATAAAAATTAACCTGCGGTGTTCATTTCATTTGTGTATGTCATTTTCCCCACCCTTGCAATTCATAGTTTTGTCGGAACATGCAGGATCTGGGACCCGCTCCGCTTTTTCCGCCGCCTCCGATTATTTCCGACGATGATCACGTGATCACTTCGGGTCATTCCGGGAAACAACAATAGGTTGACGCCATCCCGGGGCAGTGAATGGATGGTTTGGTTGCCGGCTCGGCAAACAATTACCGTACTTTCTGGAAAAATCTATTCATCGAATTTATCGATCTCAACAAGTGACAGACAAATATGTAGCGACGCCACTCGAGCGAAGCGCGCCTTAGCAGTCGATAGTCCGCTGCTCTCTGTCGTGTGTGCGTCAGCTAAGCTTAGCTGTTGTTTCGGCTAGGCTAGCGTTTTGTTGTCGTAGATCAAAGTGTATTTGATTTGTGACATCGGTTGCTTCCAAAAGACATGTTCGCGCGGACGCACACACAGCAAAGAGCAGCGGACTTTCGACTGCTGAGGCGTGCTTCGCTCGAGTGGCGTCGCTACAAATATTCCGGGACAATGCTATTTTCAAGTGGCGTGGCTGGAGAAGCCGGAGTTCCGAGTTTGGGTCGAAAAAATTGCTCACGATTATACGTCGGTCTACTGCCGAGTGTGCAAGAAGGGCATCTCCGTGAGAGGTAAAACTTGTCATAGCCTCCTGGTCAAGTCAAATGCATTGAGGCACACAGCAAAACAGAAGAAAATTGATCGCCAAGAACTTGCAAAAGAGATTGAGGAGAAAACTAAGTCACTGTCTGCTATTCCCTAATTGTCATATCAGTTTCATATTTGTCATTCTAAAACATGTCTGATCATTGAAGGTGACATGAGGGAAAATAATAGGGTTGGACCCATTTGGGATTTAGACTTCTGACATGCATTTCAGCTGTTCAAGTATACTGGATACTGCCAAGATGGGCAATCAGTACTACTGTTAGTGAAACCAGATTTTTCTAAACCCTGTCCTGGTGACACATATGACCATTAGCTCTGTTCTTTGTGTTGTGTTTATTTGAAAATAAATTGAAGTTTTATATTTTCTCAATTTAAATTTTTCTTTGTGTGTTTTATTTGAGAATTAAGTTTTTTTTTCATTTTCCTACCTGTAATACAGGTAGGAAAGTGAAAATTTGACATACAGTATGTCAAATAAAGGGCTAAGTGATTGCCCCTAAAAATAAAGATGTGCCCTTCCTTTGGCAGCAATGATTCGAACACCAGCTCAGTGATATGTGGCTTTCTGTTCAGCCCGTGTATTGCTGAGCAGGCTTTAAATCCATCGTGAATCCCCCGCTGAATTGAGAAAAGGTCCTTAAAAATGGCTAAATTGGTCCACAAAAGTCATTAAAAGGTCCATAAATAAAAAGCAAGTGGAAGAGTGGGAACCCTG